TCTTTACACATTCGTGTGGATTGTCCATCTCTGCATTCTCCAGATGAAGGGGAAGCAGATTTAGCTTCTCGGTGCCTGGAGACTTGCTTTGAGGGGAGCTTATGCTTTTAGTGCTGCTGAACTTTACATTTGCCTTTGGAGGGAGAGCTGCTTTGGCGGTCTTAGATCCAGATTTCTGCAAGCTCCCATTTTCTACTGGTGTGTTTCTCATACTTACTAACTGAGCAGTGCCAAGGAGGGATGTGTGCAACCTGGACAGAGGAGGTGCCAGCCGCGGTGAGTTGTGTTCCTCACAGCGGGGGCTGCAGCTTGATATCGCTGCCAAGCCAAGTCTTTGAGCCCGTTCAGAGGGCCCGTTCTTGAGAGAAAAGGACCGGCTGGTGGGCGTGGAGCTCCAGGACCCTCCTCATCACTGGGTTCCAGTTTTCCTCATTGTTCGCTCACTCAGCCTGGACTCTTACTGTCCCAGCAGTGGGGAGAGTGTGGCATTGTCTTGCTCAGTGCTTTGGCACCTGCTGTGCCCTCAGTGATACTTGAGAGCTGATGCCCTCCCAGAGCCTCGTGTGCTTTTGGAAGGTGAATGGATGGGCCGTGGAGGTGCTGTGTCTCTCAGTGCCTTGATGCTCTGAAGTAGCAGGGCCCAGCGGGAAGAGGCGGGTTGCTGGGGCATGACCTGGAAGGTGTTTCTGTTTCTGTTTCCTGGCTGCACTGGATTTTCCTCCACCATGCCCTGCTGCCATGCTGTTTTTGCTGTGGATCCAGCCAGCTTCAAGGTCAGCCCATTGGAAAGCCACGAGCCAGTTTCCTCCCAGTTACAGAAAAGTGATGAGTTCCACCTCCCTCCACGCAGCTCTTCTGAGTCTCGTGTTGTTCTTTCTTGCTTCATCTTCTTTTTCCTATATAGCAAAAATGCAGTTCACCGCCAGCATTTATTTAACTTTTAGCAATAAAAATGACTATATTCTGTAAATAGAAACAACTACTAAAAATGTGATCATATAAACAGAATGATGTCTTTGTTTCTAAAGACTGTTACTATATATGATTGCCGATGTAATAAATGCAACATATTTCATGACAAGCTTTGGGGATAAGCTAGGAGTGTGACTATGAGTTATTCTGGGTTAAACTCTGAAGCCGCAAGCCCTGAAGTATTTGCAGAGCAGATGAGAAATGGGTTAAGGCTGAGCTCCAGTGATACCTTCTCAGGGAAGCCTCCCTGGTCACTTTTCTGAAAATAATCTCCTTTCCCACGCAGCCAGGGTGTCCTGCTTTGTTCTCTTTCTACCCTGTGTTTCCTTTCCTGGTATTTATCACCAACTGTCCCATCTGTGTTTCATTTAATTTTTAAATCTAATTTCTCCTGTATAACCAGTGTCCCCTTGGTAAGATATCTGACCACTCAGTTCACCTTGCTGTCCAAGAGACCACCACTCAGAGTAACTATGCTTAGTGTGTAGTTAGGGCTCAGCAAATGTATGTTGAAGGATGCATATTTGGATAAAAGGATGGAAGGGTGTATAGTTGGATAGTTGGGTGGATGGATGAGTGGATGGATGTATGGGTGGATGGATGAATGGATGGATGGATGGATGATTGGATGGATAGATGGGCAGGTGAAAATATGCATGGATGGATGAATTTTTGACTGTCATTCTTTTTTTAAAATTTTATTTAAAAGGAAAAAAAGAAAAAACAATGTAAGGGTACAAGTAATACAGAATTACAAAAACAGTAAGAAATCACTAGTTAATAGATTACATATTGTAATTTTAGAAATAGTTGTTCAAGTTACAGGATTAAAGCATACAAAGTGGACATTCAAACAGTGAGACTGCAAACAGTTGTGTTCAATGATCCAACAAAAACTCAGTAATATGGTCATCTTTCTTAACACATCTAAACACACTTGCAGTTGTATCCTTTAAAGCACTTTTTTTCCCATTGTTTTTTATAACAAAATTTACACATTTTGGGTTTTATTACTCCCATAGTTCTTATTACTTTTTTTGGAAGAGAATAAAACCAAATATGACAAAACAAAGCTGTCAGTCAAAACCAAGGATAGACATAGCACATGATGTAAAAACAGAGTACAAGGTTATCAACAATGGTTACCATAATGCCTCTTGCTTCCTTAAAAAGAATTGCCTATATCATTAGGTATAATAAAGTTGAACAAAACAGTACAGAACAAGACCAATAAAACCTGAACATTGTAGACATTACAGGACTTCAAAAGAACATAATAGTCAAACCATAATGGGCATCATAGTGAATCTTATTGCCTTCAAAGTATCAAACAGAATGGAACAGAGTCTAATCAGTCAAAACAAGATAGTGAGAGTAATACAGGACTTCAGATCAAGTTAATAGGAAATCAAAAAAGTTATTATAATATATCCTGCTAATTTTATCTGTCATTCTTTAAGTCACCCATGTATCTAATAGATGTTTAAGGTGAGACTGACTGAACCACAGGAAGTGTTTCTTTCCTCAGGTGACTTCCTCTTGGTTCTCAGCCCTAATGATTGCCAGTGCTTGCCACTCATATGCAAGCCAAGCCTTCTTTGATGAAACAGCTGTGCAGGAGCTGTGCACCTGCATGGATAGGAATCTTTTGGGGTGACATCTTTACCTGGGTGAACACACTATTCTACTGAAAAGTTCTTTCATTTTCCCACTTAACACTATAGATTTTCTTGCCCTTGTACAGTGATTGGTTCATCTTATGCAATATCTTGTAGCATAAGATTAAGGTTTTAAATGTTACAGGCAAACTGTCTTGGAAGTATCTTGGAAGATACTTTCTATACTCTTATCATAGGGTGTGAACTTTTATGTTTCCTTTGCTGACAGCTATTGGTTGCTTTCTTTCAGTAGTCAGTACTGCCATTAAAGGAGCAAGTAACAATCCATTTGAATTTGTCCTGTAGTTTTAGGTAAGACTTTTATACCAGGAGCTGTCATGTTTGTAAGTTTGGTATATTTTTCCTACTCTTTAGTGAGCTTATTGTCAGATAGTTTATTCTGTCTGGCAGCCTCTTAAAAAATATCCTGGCATACCATCGGCAACTCTAAAAAGGGCTCAGTGTAAGCAAGTTTTCTATCTAATTTAGTGACTATATTTAAGCAGCAGAATTTTTAGAAGTTTGAATTGTTTTGAAAGTTTCTTATAATTGATCAAATGCCTTCAGCGCCCAGAGAGAAGGAATAGTATTTTGGTCCTTAAGGGCAGCATTGACCAGTGTGTCTTGTGAAATACTGGGCTGTGGTCCTAGAGGGATGGTCTTCTCTGAGACAGCAGCAGTAAATGCTACATAGGATTCCTTCTGGCTCCATCAAATGATCTCAGGCTCTTCTCTTTCTTAAGTGGTCTATTTTGGCTTTAGTGTGGCTTTCTGTGGCTGGCTTCTCTCGGGTTTTATAGCAATACCCGTGCCTCAGGCAGGCGCTGTCTCTTGGACCCTTTACCCTTCTGTTTCAGTGCTTCCAATTTGCTGTGCACTTGCAGCCTATTAGATAATCCTGGAGGAATATGTTCCATTTAAGAAGAGCCTGAGTCTTGTCTTCTGACAGTAAGCTAGGAATCAAGAAGGTTCTGTGCATCAGTAAATCTGGGAGCAGCCTGGTGTGGAGTAGTTCATTTTGCCCTATAAGGTTCTCAGATTGTGTACTTGGTTTGTTTTACTGTTCTTTGATTACTCTGTATGATGTGTTTGGAACATATGGAACTGAAGTGAACAGTCTTGCTTTTCCCATAACTGTTCTGTGGATAAAGAAATAGATGTAGTTAGTTCTCAGAGTCTCTGATGGATCAATTCCAGGACCTTGTGTGGATTCCTTAATCCCTTCCATAAAGTGGCATTGCATTTGCACAAGACCCATGTACACCCTTCTGCACAGTTTAAATCATCTCTGGATTACGTGTAATACCTAATGCAGTGTAAATGCTATGCAAATAGTTGTTGTACTGCTTTTCTTAGGGAATAATGACAAGGAAAAGGGTCTGCATGTTTGATTCAGATACAGTTTCCCTTTTTTCCTGAATATTTTTGATTCACAGTTGCTGGAATTCATGGATGCAGAGCCTGCAGACACGGAGGGCTAACTGTGTGACACAGATCCGAGTAGGGGCTGTGTGACATAGGTCTGGTTACCATGCTGTGGGCTTGAAAGGAGAAGAGATGTCATAAATTTGACCAAACTTAATGGAAGCCAAGATAAGGGAGGGTGAGATGGGAAGGACAGTTTACACTGTCCCATCTCTTCTCTCCCCATTCAGGGCAGGAGGAGAGGATGCCTAAGGCAAAGCAAAATGTGAGCAAAGGTGGCCAATGTAAAGGTGTATGGAAGGGACAGAATTACCTGGGTGTGGCTGACTCATAAAACTCATACACACACAGTAGCACACCACTTGAGTCTCAGCACTTGGAAGGGTGAGGCAGGAGGATCCCGGGTTTGAGACTAGCCTGGGCAACTTAGTAATACAATGTCTCAGAATAAAAGATAAAAAGTACTGGGGATGTAGGAGAGAGAGAGAGAGAGAGAGAGAGAGAGAGAGAGAGAGAGAGAGAGAGAGACAGACAGACGAGAGAGGAGAGAGAGAGAAGAGAGGAGCGGGGAGAGAGATAGAGATAGAGATAGAGAGAGAGAGAGAGAGAGAGAGAGAGAGAGAGAGAGAGAGAGAGAGAGAAGAGAGAATTTTACTAGTATACTAACTAACCAACTAGAACCCTTCCACAGTGGTACTTCTTCAAAAGCCTGTGTGGGCTGATTATAGCACTGAAGTCCAGGAGATGGTAATGTCCCTCCTTAAACTGCGTGAAAACTAAATCTTGTGGTCAGGTGAGCCCTTCTCCACCATGCAACTCTGTAGCAAGGAAATGCTGGGCACAAAAGTTTCCTTGTCCTGAAGTTTGGAACAAAGGTCTTCATTTGCTCTTGTTCTGCAGGGTTCCCGTCTCTAACTAATCACACGGTTTTCCTTGTGCTTACAGTACCGCCAAGTACAGCGTGTTGACGTTTCTACCTCGATTCCTGTATGAGCAGATTAGAAGAGCTGCCAATGCCTTCTTCCTCTTCATTGCCTTATTACAGGTAACGCTTTCCAGATTACTTAAAATCCTCACCCCTGGGTGCATGCAAAATAGGATTTTGCTGACAGTTTCCTTAGCTGAAGAAAAAGTTAAAATATTGTATAGAATTTGTTTTCCTCATCCAATACAGAGGGCAGCACTAACCTAATCTTTGTATTCAGGGAGACTTTTTTTATACTCCTTTAAGGATATTTGTGCTTCCTAAAAGAGACAGGGAAAATAGTGCTTGAGGGACATATTTTTAATCCTTTTTCTTCTATTCCAAGCATGTGATCAAAACTGGATAATTTAAAAAATATGTCAACTGTGTAATTACTTTTAAAAATAAGTATTTGTTGTGAGGTCCTGAGTTCAATTTCCAGTACCAAAAAAAAAAAAAAGATGTATCTATGTGTGAAAAATGGAACAGAACTGTGCAAGAGTGAGTGGTGTGTGCTGTGTTACCTTTTCACGTGGGGGACCTTGAGGACCTCCTTCTTGTGATCTGTTGCAGCAAATTCCTGATGTATCTCCGACAGGAAGATATACCACCCTGGTGCCATTGATCATTATCTTAACAATTGCCGGCATCAAAGAGATCATAGAAGATTTTGTAAGTTTTTGCCTGTGGATAATAAAAGCATTTTATGGAACTTAGCTTATAAAGTCTATATTGATTTCAGTGATATATTTAAAATTGGGAATTAGGCTATAGCTGAATGAGCTCCTAGGCTGATGATGGTAGTTTTGGGGAGAGAGTGTATACCCAGAGAGTCTGACACTTACACGGAGGTCCTGAAGCAGTTGTGAATTTGTTCTACCTTGTTCGGGTCTCTAGACTCACTCCGATGTCCATCGCTGCTGTTTCTCATGTCTACCTGCAGAGCCTCTAATTTAGGTAGCAGATGAAGCCTTACTGTCTAGGGAGCAGCAGTGTGTGTGCTGTGCCTGAGGTCATTTTATAGGAATCTCTCTCCTCACCCTGACGCTGGGCTAAAGTTCCTTTGCTAAAACTGTGTCCTTCCTCCCCTCTCCTCCCCTTTCTGTCGCTGTCTCTGTTTCTTTCAGTATCTCGGTGTCTCTCTTTCTATCTCTGTTTCTGTTTCTGTCTGGCTCTGGCTCTCTGGTGCGCTCTCTCTCTCTCTCTCTCTCTCTCTCTCTCTCTCTCTCTCTCTCCTTCTCTCTCTCTCTCTCTCTCTCTCTCTCCTTCTCTCTCTCTCTCTCTCTCTCTCTCTCTCTCTCTCACACACACACACACACACACACACACACACAATTGGTCTCCCACACATATTACATCTTTTTGGGAACAGGTAAATAAGTTAATGCAAATTGAAAATAAAGTCACCTGTTTGTTTTGCGGTTTATATCGTCATTCTTTTAGTTTGTTTGCAAATAAATGAGAAATGAAGTGCTTCATAGTTGGAAGTGTTTGTTGATTATTAGAACTAAAACATAATAGTCTAAATCAGAGTAGATTGCATCTAAATCTGGTGATCTAAATAATAGATCACAGAATCATCCAGCTGTTTTACAGCATTAGTAGTGTTAGGTTTTTATTTTCTTTCAACTTTTATTATATTTGTTGTACATGTTTGCAGCGCATGGTGTTCACGTTCCTGTGTGGAGCTGGGGCATGAACGTAACACATTTAATTCTCTTTTGGTCCCCTGGCCCTCTCCTCTGGTCAGTTAGTTTAGGGGAGAGTTAGTTTCTTTGCTCCAGTATTTTTGTGATCTTGTTGTTTACTATCTTAATTATTCATTTGGAACTTCTGAATGTAAGACAGAACCATTTTCTTTTCTTTCTGTAACAGAAACGACATAAGGCAGACAACGCTGTTAACAAAAAGAAAGCCATAGGTAAGCTGCCAGGGTCAGTCATTTTTCCATTGTAGACAAGAGTAAGCCTGCATTTAAGGAGTTCACAGTGAACAGTTAAAGGTGTCAAGATAAACCGCACAGACAACCTGAAAAGTACTTTAAAGAAACAGTAAAATAATAAGCAGAATGTTAGTCCTGATAATTAAGATTTGAACGGGATTTCTATATTTTAGGATTTTAGAAGATTGTATTTCTTAGGAATTTGACAGTTTTTTGAACGTTCAGACATTCTCATCCTTGGTTTATGTTCTTTCCCTGCTTTTTCTTATTTCTTACTGTTTTGGTTTTTGCATCAGCATTGTTAGGTTTATTATTGTTATACCTGCTGAATCAGATTATGTTATAGTTATAATATCTGACATCAGGGTTTTGTTGTTATTTTTGTTATAATTGTCTGACATCAGGTTTTCTTTTAAACTTTTGGGGCTGAATATAAATAGATTTTAATTACATAAATAGATAAAGATTTGTGTTCATGTATAAATGTATATATGCTACAGAGATACATAGGTCTGGGTACCACTAGGGGATGGGTAGTGTTATATCTTTTTAAAATGATATAATATGTTAAAATTAATAATTGAAAATTTACAAGGAATCTTTCGGGTTTTTAGAAAGCTGATTTTTTAAAATCTTGATCATCACCAATATTAACCAGTACATTTTTTTTCTATTTCAGTGTTAAGAAATGGTATGTGGCATACCATTGTGTGGAAAGAGGTAAAAACTCATTTTAAAGCTAATAACAGAAGTGCTGGTTTGAAGGCTGGTAGCAGATGCTGCTGTTGATTGCAGTGTGAAGTTTGCATTAAGAATAGGTGGTTTCTGTTATATGTGTTTCTGTGAGATCTGCCTCTAGCTGACTGTTCCCTCTGCTCATGACTGCTTTTAGAATATAGCCATGGCAGCAGCTCAGGCTGTGGTCTTTATGGTCCTGATGGACAGTTCTCAACCTCAGAGCATTTTCTAATTTCTAAATTCAATTTGAGAAGCACTGTCCTTGGTCTTCCATTGTTCTCTTCGTGTAAAGTTTGATGCTCAAGGCTGGTGTGTGTGTGTGTGTGTGTGTGTGTGTGTGTGTGTACCTTTGAGATTCTCACTTCCAATATTTTTGGTGAAGACACTCTCACTAAACAGAGTTTGAACAGGAAATGCTGTTCCTTCAGCTTTTGAGGCAGGGGAAGTCGAACGTGACCAATATGACGTAAGATAAAAACGATGGATGCTTAAACTTTAGACATTCATTATGGTAAAGGACATGGCCGTTGACCCCGTCTCAGAACACGACTCCTTGCTTCAGCCCTCCCGGTTCTGGAAATCCTCCTCTGTGGGTGTCTTTAGTTGTGCTGTCCTGGCTGCCTTGATATTCTGAGTCAATTCCAAATGTTTACCTGTTAACGGTCATTTTGATTTTGGGGGACATCCAGAAGTTATGTGAGGTCAGATTCAGTGAATAAGGCAGATGAAGGACACTGCATGTTTCTTTTTGCTAGAATTTGCCATACATATTTGATCAATGAGTTGTGATTGAAAATGCGGCCAAGTCTTACATTTAAAATGTAGAAGACACACTGCCGATTGATCTACCTTAAAATACTCCACATACTTCCCCTCGCATATCCAGTTAGTCTTCACAGTGTTTTTATTACTATGACAACACAGTAGCAAACAGGGACGTTCTTCTTTGTGACTGGAGGCCTGCGGTGTGCGGGTTTGAGACTAGTGTTGTTCTTTGATTGTTTAAGTGAAACATGGAAAATTTAGAAGAAATCTGTGGTGGCGTCTCAGTGTTTCTGTATCTGGTAAACGTAGCTTCCAAGTGAGTTAGTTGAAGCAGGACCTTCTGGTGGGATGTGCCTTAGGGATGGCCCTCTTTAGTCCCACATTCAAACTAGTGATTTCAAGAGAAAACAACTGCTTTGAAAAGTGCATGCATTTTTCTTGATAAACCTTTAGCACACTCTTTTTTGAGTATCTCTTAGGACATTTTACATCAGAAAATTATTTCTGTGATAAGATACCTGATCATTTACCTGTTGGTTTATCTTGGTTTATTTCAGGAGAACCATCTACCTTTACAGGAGACTGTCTCCCCTTTATGGGTATTTTTGTTGTAGCACCTTGCCAGCTGGAAGTGCTGTGCTGCAGGTGTTCTTTGGCTTCTTCAGAAGTGAAAGTGGTGGATCTTGGTCGAGAGGTTGGGTGCTTTCGACTCCCCAGGGGAGAAACATTGCCAGGGCTGGAGAAGTCAAGGGCTCCTGTGGCCCTGGGCCATTGTCCCCTCCCATCTCCCTGGGCTCCTTTCACCTGTCCATCACTGGAAGGCTTGAGTATTGGCCAGTGTGGAGAATGATTTAGATCCAGAGCTCCTGACACGGCCTGAAACTCCAGGAGATGGAGCTGTGGTCATGGACTTCTGGGCCCTGGAGCTGATGGCTTTGGAGACTCCTAATGCTCATTACTGTTTGTGAGACACATTTGGAAGAAAACACTGGCGGCGGCAGCTGTAAACCTGCTGTGTGCCTGGTCACATGAATTTTTGTTTCAACTTGAAATGCATTTTGCGTGCTTATTTCAACAGAACCCTTAATTGCCAGAGACTGCTCCAGGCCTGGGATTCAGAAGAGAGCGTGTCCCTGCCCTTCCAGGGTCTCGGTGTGCAGCAGTCCTGAGGCCTCAGCAGGTGCCCCAGTCACACACAGATGGGCCCCAACCCAGAGTTTTTGAGGCACCGAGGCTGCCGCGGGTGATCTGGGTGTATACTCAAGAGCCAGAGTAGAAGAGACAGCAGCTGGCTGTAACACAGGATACCTCCTGAGCCTCCAAGGGTGCCTGGGGATGCCTAGGACACCTGGGAGGGACGTTTTTTCTAGACCCACGGGCTCAGCTCAGGAGAAGCCTCACTCAGGAGGTATTGTTCAAGGCTTAGGGCATGGGGCTGGGCAGTGTCCAGATAGCCAGGCACAACGTGTCATCGTGAGGGTTCAGTGGGAGGGTGAGGACAAGGAGAGGACAGTGACAGGGGCTAAGGACCAGCCTGTGGGCTGTGGCTGGCCGCTGGTGAGTGAGAAGGCAGCCTTGGGAAGCTTTCAGTGGTTTTGGTGGCCCTGGAGAGTTCTTTCCAGCCACTTCACTGTGCAGAGACTCAAGGGCTTCCCTGAGACTGCGGATCCATGGGAGACTCGGATCCATGGGAGAACGTCAGGTAGAAAGCCAGCCTCCAGTGAAGCCCAAGTAGCTTCTCATGTGCATGAAACTCTTAGTGCTTGGTTGTGGGGATATAAGGGATTCTTTATTTAGAAAGTAAAGATGAGAGAAAGCCATAATTCTCTTATCCTCTTATTCTGAATTAGAGGAAAAATCCTCTTCTTTTTTTGAAAACAAGACTAATTTTTCAAGTGCATTTTAAATTAATCACTTCTTCTGATATTTCTGTGTAATTAAACCACTGATGTAAAATATTTTTACTTTTAAAACATTCAAAGTTTTAATGTTTTAATGGAAGTGGCCCTGTTTACATTTAAAACATTAAAAAACACTTTACATAAGTGTACCTTGCTTTTGTACTGGTGATCGTACTGTAGCATTTATTCTTTAACTTCTCTTTACTGTGGAGTATGCTATAGTTATATACTTTTTTGCTTCAAATTGGATACTAACTTGTGCCTTTGAATTGAGTGCTAACTTCAAAATGCACACACTTTCTGGAATTTAACTTTTACTGACACTCCCTGTGTTGAGCCCAATGATTTAGACTTTCTCATGCACTTTATGATAAGCAATCCAGAGCACTAGGACACCTTTCATAAAGCGCTCCCTTTCCCAACAGAAAATTAGTGTGTGTGTTTGTCTGCCCATCCCTTGTCTTCACAGTGCTGAGGATGAAACCCAGGCCCTTGTGCATGCCATGGAAGTGCTCTACCCCTGAGCTGCACCCCCAGGGCCCAGCAGAAAATTAAACTGAGCGCCTGCTGCTTCATACAGCCCAGTAGTTTTTAATGAGGATTATATCACTTGAAATTCTTGGATTCTAAGAGAATAGAAATATGGTTAGAATAGGAAACGTGGAACAGCAAGCACTTATTTGGTGCTCTGCGGTTGTCGTTAGGAACTGTCTTTCTTCACGTGTCATCAGAGAATTCTGATGTCCTTGATATCCGTCCTGACAGTATCCGTTCAGCTTCTCACTCTGAGGGCCCTGCAGTGACACACCTCCTTATGGTTTGTATCTTGATGTCCTGAAGAAGCTCCCATACTCACAGGCAGGGCTTTGGACAGGCGATGGGATTGTGGGGCTTATAGCTGACTTGCTGTCAAGAGATCGAGTCTGATTGCAAGGGGTAGGGCCACCGGGGGCGGGGGGAGGGTGTGTGACCTGGAAGGAAGTGTCTCCTCTGTCTCTTCCCTTCTCTGTCTGCTTCCTGGCTGCCATGAAGTGAGCAGCCTTTCCCCTGCTCCACCCCCTGCCACACAGAGCCAAAGAGAACCTCTCCTCCTTAAGCTGAGAGGGTCAGGTGTTGTGGCCTGATGACAGAGCGACTAAGGCACACATAGTGCACAGATGCCACACTACGCATTTTATGACCTATAGTATTGTTTTCCCATCTTAGAAGTGAGGGGTTGGGGTCAGCATGGTAGTGCATGCGGATAGCCCAGCTGCTTGGGAAACTGAGGCAAGAGGTCACAAGTCTGAGATAAGCCTGGGATTTTTATCAAGATTGTATTTCAAAGTGAAACAAAATGGGCTGGGAAGACAGCTTGGAGGCAGAGGGCCCCTGTGTCTGATCCTCAGTGTTGAGAAAAATGGTGGCGAGCCTGGGGCTCTGTGAGGAGAAGCCGCTTGTTGGCACCTGTGAAGTGAGGCTGTGAGCCCGGGCTTGCTGCGGTGGAGCCCGTGTGGTTCTCTAAAGCAGCACTGGTGGAACTGGATACTTGGTCGTGGTGCCCTTGGAAGTGGCCCTGTTTCCTCAGCTGGTGGTCTCTCCGGCGGAATCTGTTTCTCAAGGAGATCTCTGACTTGGTAACTTTCTCTTCTGACAGTGCCTTGAGGCTGTCCACATCTTCTGTCTGTCCTGTGATACATTTCCAGGAGGCCTCTTAGATGCCCTGCTCGTGAATCAATGTAGTGATGCCTTTTGTTCAGCCTTCTCTTCTGACTGGCTTAGTTTTAATATGCTGGCTGTACCATCCTGGTCAAGTTACTTTACCCTGAGCTTCAGTTTCTCCACTTGTAAAACAGAAAAACCTATGTGTATTAATCCTCTCAGTAATCTCATGAAATGTGTGCTGTTATTTTTCAGTATATAGATGAGACAAATGAGGCGTATACAGTTTCCCTGACTGTCTTATGGTTATACAGCTAGTTAGGGGTATAACAGGGACTCGAACTCAGGACTTTAGGCTACCTCCGGAACCGCATGGATGACTGCTCAACCCCACCACATGTAGCAGTGGGGGGACATGTAAGCAGTTGTAGCTAGGTGGGTAATTCTAAGAAAATGTGATACTTATACATGTAGCTATCTGGACCCGCTCCCTTATTTCCTTTGCATAAGCATTCACTGCACCAGGCAATAGATTGTCCCCTGGTATCCTCAGGGGTTGTTTTAGAATCCCTCACAGATACTAAAATCCACAGGTGCTCAAATCCATGTATAACATACTGTAGCATTTCTGTAGAATGTCTTCACGTCCTCCCGTGGACTTTAAACACTCTCTACAAGGCTGTTACAATACCTTGCCTGGACTCTGCAAATGCTGTGTAAATAGTCTTATCCTGTACTGTCTGGGAATAGTGATGAGAAAAACATCTGTGCACATTCAATACAGACACACTTTTTCTTCCCCAGTATTTTCAATCCTCGGTTGAATTGTGGATGTGGAGGCCTCGACTGTGTCCCAAGCTGTGTGTGTTGGGGACATTTCCTTTCTGTCCCTGTTAGGGCGTGGCTGAGTTAAGTGGCAGTTTTTTTCTTCATGTGTTTAACCACTCTTGTCCACTGTGCTTCTTTTTCTTCCACCCCTCTCTGTCCTGGTCCCTGCTCTCCAGGTGGCAGTGGGAGACATCGTCAAAGTGCTCAATGGCCAGTACCTTCCTGCAGACATGGTCCTGTTCTCCTCCAGGTCAGGTGTGCTAGTGGGCACCATTTTTAAATTGAATGTTAAGAACAATAAAATGTTAAATTACAATTATGGATTCTTGAGCCACCTTTTTCTTCTGCCCTATCTTCCTATTGCAGGCTGGGTGTCCTTAACTAACCATAATTTTGGAGCATTTTGGATTTCAAAAGTTTGGATTAGGAATGCTTATCTCCAACGCAGCCTACAAATATTTTAAAATCTAAAACCATCCAAAAATCTGAACATCCCAAGGATTTTGGATAAGGGATGATCATCTCTGTCTTATCAAGTTCCTTCGCCTGGTTTCACCCTCTGCCTTCTTAGTCTTTTTCTGAACCCCTCAAGTACTGCCTCCTGACTCCTGATGGGTCAGTCAGTGGTTCATCATGCAGTTCAGAGAGCCACATGTATTTCCTCAGTGTAGATCAGACTTGAAGATGATGTCTGCTCTCCGTTTTTCTACATTTTACCCTTTTTTGCCCAATTACCATTGCCATATTCTCTGGTTTTGTGCAAGGAGGGCATCATGATGAAACAACACAGCTTTTGCCCTTCTTGGGTCAATGATTAAAAAGTTAATAACAAAGAAGGAAAAGCAAAATCAGGATGAGAGTGACCTTAGTTCTTGAGTTCAAGACTACAACTTCCTATATTTATATGCTACTGAGAACCATAGATGCTTCTGCTGGTTGCATTTTCTTTGCTTGCAGGCAGTGTTTTTTGTATTGTTTGGTCCCTCATTAGATTTAGAGCCTTAACAGTAATTTTCTCCAGTAGATAAAAATTTAAAAAATAGAACCCAGGGCTGACGGAAGGGAATAACCTTGTAAACATGGGTCAAGGCCCAGGTATGGCCATGTTGGCTGGTAGCATAGAAACTTCAGAAATCTTAATCTCTTGATGGTGTGGGTTAGAGTCTTGTTTGTGGCCCTCAGAAAATACAGCTTTGCTGTGGAGTGGCTTCCTTGAAGCGATGGATGTCAGATGTTCAGGACGCTCCTTGCTTCTGAGCATGTACTTTGTGATGAGCGGCCTACAGTTAGTCTCCCCAGCACCTTTGATAGCCTGCCCCAGTGAGCGAGAAAAGTGAGACACAGAAGTCCAACCGCTTGCCAGGGCCGTGTAGCCCCGAGAGGCAGTGCAGAAGCGTCTACATCAGCCGGTGGGTAGCAGAGCCCTTTCTGCTGACCAGAGCAACCACGCTGACCACCCTAAACCAGCAGATCTAAACACTTCGCTCTTATAGTTTGTGTGCGAGTGCAGTACCTGATACGCTTATTTATACTGTTTTTGTGTAGTCTGTCCCGAAAGGTAGGTGTCCCAATGAAAGTTCCCTTTTGATATAGTCGTAAATTCAGGGCAGCAACATCTCTCCAAGCTTATGCCTTAATCCTTCATTTCCATGGTTGTAATTCTCTTTTAAGGGCCTGTTTGGTCAGGTGTGGTGGCAGACACTTTTAATCTTCAGCCACTCAGCAGGCTGAGGCAGGAGGATCACAAGTTTGAGACCAGCCTGGGCAAGTTAGTGAGACCCTGTCTTAAAAAACACAAAGGGTTGGAGATGTGCTCCAGTGGTAGAGTGAGGTCCTGCATTCAAATCCCTGTTCTCTAGTGTTGGCTTGGGCAGCTTTTTTGGGCAGATGTGGACCCAGCCTCAGCCTTTTCAGGGTCACCCCAACCCAGCGGTTGGGTCTTGGGGGGCTAATTGTTGCATCAGTGGTGTAAGCAGCTTTTAGCGCTGTTATGCCCTGAAGATAAGTATGCCTCCTTCCTCATTACTGCCTACTACGAAAGGAACTGTGTGTTACGAGCTCTTTTGAAGACTCATCAGTAGGAGTATTTCCATAGCACAGAGTTCAAGAGCTGTGAGTTTGTAAAGGTGGCCTTTACTGATTTCTAAACCCCATCTCTTTTCTCTCTCTCCAGTGAACCTCAGGCAATGTGCTATGTGGAAACAGCTAATCTAGATGGGGAGACAAACCTTAAGATACGTCAGGTAAAGTCACCTATATCATGACTCATGGTGTAGGGGGGGCCTCAGCTGCAGCTATGGTCCCTTTGTGTGCTGGTCAGCATCTTTTGTAGAGAAAAAATTGTGCATTCACAAAGTTTAGACCTCAGCCCTACGGGAACCCATGAAGGAGGTGCCTATCATTGTGAGGGGAGCTGCTCTAGATGGACACGACATGTAGGAGAAGTGGACTTCATTGAACTGTAGGTCCCAAGGGTATCATGCCTTCAGGCGTGTCTTCCTGACTCTGTGATGCTGAGGGTGGGGGCTCCACAGTTATGCGGGGCTGGGTACTGGACAGGACACTCCCTCTAGAGGACAGAAGGTGGCTGTGAGCCACTGGCACCTCGATGTGCAACACTTTCAGAATTGGGATTCTGTTCTAGAGAGTGGTACTAGCATAGTAGACACGAATTTTGTATACTTTAAATAAAACTGTCCTTACTGTATATTTTATTCTAGCAAAAAGAATAGTTTTTAAAATATGAAGATGTCAAGCATTTTGACACAACTTTTTTGGCTTAAAGTTAAATTCAGTAATTCTTTTTTTTTTTCTTTTGTCTTTTTCATTTAAATTCAGTAATTCTGCCCACGTATTTTTCTTTTCTTCTGGAGATATTTCATTTAGGTTTGTTTTTTTTTTTTTTTTTTTCCTGCTTAAATAAGGAACAGTAAAGTTCATCTTGCTATTCTGTTTTCATGGGTGTTTGGGTTAAAGATTCCTTTAGTTTACAAATGGCTGGATAGTGTGCAATATAGCAAGGAGATACTTTATCCTATAGAGGATGGTTTTAGGGGACAGATACCAGTGTATGGTTTTACAAGGGATTCGATTGTGTTACACAGGATCTGGGTGCGTTAATTGTCACTTAGACACGTTGTCGGCGTTGAGGTGGAATTCACCTTTTGTTCCATGGAACTGTTCTGCTGGTTTTTATCAGACAGTTGGAACACAAGGTGTGGCAAAGGTGCTCTCTTAAGGGGCTGACATTTAATGGGTCCAGTTATTGTAGACGGCTTATTACATCCTTAGGACAGGATGCTGAATGTGGTCCCTAAGACACTCACAGTGTGACCGAGTTTCTCTTTCGCTTTGACGTTTTAGGCCTTGAGCCACACGGCAGACATGCAGACGAGGGAGGTGCTGATGAAGGTATCAGGAATCATCGAATGCGAAGGGCCCAACCGCCACCTCTACGACTTCACTGGGACCTTGAACTTGGATGGCAAAAGGTGTCACCCTTTCTTCTCTTCGTCCCATTTCTTATCTTTTGAGTATGAGTAAAAATTATGGGAGTCTTAGAAAATACAGTTGCTTTCTATTTTCCTAATATTTGAAAACAGTGTGATTTCTTCATGATTACTTAGTTCTGGGCTACTGAGTTTTTCTTATAACTCCATTTTTATCCATTTAAAACTTCCCTGAAGCTCAGCAAAAGAGATGACCTTTAACAAGAAAAGAGCCTAGGGCATCAGATGAAGTCTCCTGTCCTTCCCAGGCAGGGTTCATGGTTCAGGCTGCATCAAATGGTGCAGGAGGACAGCAGGGATATGTCTGAGGTGAAACACAACCTTTTGTAAAAGAATACAACCATTTTTCAAGATTTCTTCCGAATAGGGTTTTTGTTTTATTTATTTTTGGTGCTGGGCATAGGACTCACGCCTGCTGGGAAGTGCTGTGTGTCTCAGCCACACCACAGCCCTGTTGTTTGGGCAAAGCAGGACAGAGTGAACGCAGCTCCTCCTATTGAGTGTGCCGTATGCTGTGGTCTGTATTCTGTTGTCCTTGGCGTTGGGTGTTCGTTTCATTGTCTGAGTCAGCTTGTGTCATGATGTTGGGGTGCAGTCACTATCTGCTGCCCATCTTTTATCTGCATGACTGTTACCTCTGCATTCCACAACGTGTCTGGAGTCCTTTGGATTTTGAATAGGTCTGTGGCTTTGGGAGGGCCTTGTCCTAGGAATCTACACGCCACAAGGAAGATAACTAAGGGCAGCTGCTTCTTGGCTGTCATGTAGGACATGGGAACAGTCTGTATGTTCCCTGCTTTAACTTTCTAAATTATCTAAATGAAGTCATCCTTGGAAAATTTGATATGACATACTTCTGCTTCTTTTTTTTCTTATGTAGTCCATAAAATATATTTGGTTTCCTGAATGAATAAGCTTCAGGTTATTATTTTAGCAATTTCCTTTGTAGATACTGAGTTTTGTAATGGGCCTATAGGAGATAGTTTCCTGTAACATTTTATAGAAAAAAACTTCTTTTACTAAGGTGGTGAGTGGTTAAATAGACACTCTTGGGGGGTTGTTTTGGTAGAATAAGCCCAGTATAATCTTTATTGCTCAAGTTTGACTAAAGAAGTATTTGATTTATTGTGGGTTTATGTTTGAGAAAGCCATGTTTATTTGTGAGACTGTCATTAAATATGAATATTATTTCTTATTTTTAGCCCTGTTCCCCTTGGGCCTGACCAGATCTTATTAAGAGGTACACAGCTTAGAAATACTCCGTGGGTTTTTGGCATAGTTGTTTATACTGGACACGACACCAAACTCATGCAGGTAAAATGTTTCTGTGCTGAAAAACGATGCTGACTTTAGCTTTGTTATTGTTATTTTCTCCTTTCTATTTTTACTGAGGGTAGAAAATGCAGATAATGTACTTATGAAGACTAAGTTTGTCTATGAACATAAATTTGGAAAGAAAAATGCCTCTGTTTCATTTCTTTGGTCACTTCTGGAATTTTGTTATCGTATCAGATGTTTGTTAACCTCTTGCCTGAAACATTAAATGGACTTTATTTTCTAGATGTAAGAAGGACAATTAATTCTAACTTATTAGAATCTTCTGGACTTAAAGAGAAAGATTAGTTCTAATGTTATTTTTCCGTCAATTCCTCTTTCACTCCGTTGGTCATGATTTTACAGTAAATTCTTAACTGAATTCTAGGCCATTTATGATCAGTTATTTTTGAGCTAATGTTTATTCTTTATATACCAAAGAGAACAGTGTTAATTTATAATGACTTTGCTCTCTTTTCTTTTAGTTTTTTTTTTTTTTTTGCAAATTTATATACCACATTTATATTGTAACATTGACAGGCACTTTTTGAAATTGTACATAAAACCGGTGTCTCTTTGTGTCATTTCTTACATTCTTTTGGTATCGCTTGGCTTCTTATTTTGCAGTGTTAGCTGTTAACCAGCACTGACTTTTCTTCTTGTATATGACTTGTAAATTACACATTGGACTCTATTTCTTAGTTAAGAAATAGTTAGGGACCACCATGCATGAATTCCTGAGGTAGGCCACATAGATCCAGTCATGAAAGGCTCAGTTCTACCCTCTGAGAGTCATGCAGACCAAGGAGTAATATGGAAATACAAAGCAGAGATTTTATTTTTGTAAAATATGTCATTACTGAGTCCCAAAGGGGCACCCACTGCTGGAGTGCCAGTTGATGGAATACTGTGAATGATCGCTCTGCAGAAGTACTTTTTAAGTCTTGAGCTGGAGGAGGGAAACTTCCATTGACTGCTGGCTTGAGGGTAAATGATAGTATGATGAGAGAATTAAACATTACAGTGCATGAAATGATAGACGCCAGGCCACAATAGTTACCTGCAGGAGAAGAGACAGGGAGGAAGTTAGGATTGGAAGGGCTGAGATAAGCCCTGAAGTTGGAGAGAGCTGTTGGTGCCACTGAGTGGCAGGCTGCTAAGTGTAGGATTCTCCCTTTGGGTTTCTGAAGTTCAAGGTTGGTGCCGTGCTAAGCCCTGGGATGAGCCATGGGAGCAGGCAACAGAGGACACAGCTTCAGCAGCCTATTTGGTGTTGAAGAGCGAGGAGATGAGAGCTAAGACATCCGTCCCGTGATGGGCTGATGCTGTGACTTGGAAGGTACAATGGTTGCAAGGCTGGGACAGAGAGGAATTCTGTCAGCTGGTGGCTCAAGTCCTCAGGGAGGGGGAGGAAGTGGCTGAAAGGCCAGTGTACCTGCTAAGGGAAGAGCAGAAGATAGTGTAGCCAAAAGGCAGGATTTTATAAGTGACTTTTAAAACCCAGCACCGAGAAGTAAAGGCCAGACAGTCCTACAGTGTCTTACAGTACAGTACAGTACAGTCCTACAGTACATTCGGTAATGCCACCCCACCTACCAGGAGATGTGAGTCCGTGGAGTAAGTAGTCTGTGCTTGCGCTGCTCTGGGGAAGGCTGGGTCAGGTGAGGGGCAGCAAGAGAGCTGGTTAAGAAGCAGGACATAGAGCCTTTGGGTGGCAGAAGGGCAGGGGCCCAGGCACAGTGGGCCGGGTCATGCAGCGGGTGAGTGGGAGGGGGGCTCTACGGTGGGCAGAAAGCGAATAGCTGGGGATCGTTGAGGCAGCTACTGGCAGAGAAGATAGCGTACTTGAGATGTGTCTGACCTCCCCTCCTGCTCCGGCCTCATCTGTTCACAGGGCTAACGCTGACCGGAGCGCTTCAGGTTTATTGCTTGAGCAGGCCCTGTGAGAAGACTGAGGACCAGGGCCCTGCCACCTACTAAGTAGTCTTGGACTTCCGCAGCCCAGGGCCAGTACCCACTGCTGAGCACTCAGAGTTCTGCTGTCTGCACACTCTTGCTTCCTCTTTTTATGATGCAGTAACAAAGAGGTCGTGCATCGTGAGCTCAGATTTGTGCAGGGTCACAAAAGAAATTTTCAGACTGAGCCGATCACAAGAGCAAGCCTCTGCCAAGTTTCCTTGTGCAGTAGATAATTTCTCAGGGTGTGATATTGTTTTGTAGATCATGCCTTTGTAGCTTAGTAGCTCAGGTCTAGAGTTACTTGTAGCTTAAAACATTCCCATCGCCTCTTTGTTGGGTGACGTGTGCACTTAGGGAATGCGTCCATCCCCTGCGTGTGAGAGGCGTTTTCCCTGGTCCTCCGTGAGACAGACCTCTGGGGTGCTGGAGGCCAGAGTGAGGGAAGAGCCTGGCAACAGCTGTTTTAGATGCCTTGTGCTTGTGGGCCTGAAAGAACAAGTGAAAACGTGAGCTGTCAGGAGCATGAACAGTACACATAGCTGAAGCCTTTCTGCTGCGGATAATGGTGTTTCGCCTGCATAAAGAGATTGCTTTAGAAGGTCTTTTTTGTTTTACCTTTTAAATTTTTTTTTGGTGTTAAACTCTTCCCTCCATGTCTTTCACTGTACACCAGGTCCCCCAGTTCATGCTCAGTGTAGTTACATGTAGAAATCTTCACATCTGTTACTTCTGTTGGTTGATTGAATAGGAAAGAGAGATTCTCATGTTAAATGCAGCAGGCATTAATTACAACAAATCGTGTATTGCTCTAAGTGATTCACATATATTAACTCATTTATTCCTCAATTATTTTTCTCATTTTATAGATAAGGGCACTGAGGCATGTTGCCAAAGTAACTCGATCTTAGAGATAGGACTGGTCAGGCAACCTCTGAAACAACTCCTCCAACCTACATTCCATTCCTAAGGAGGGGACAGAATGTGTAATGTTCAAGTCTGATTTCAGCTTTTTAAAAGTCTGACATTTTGGCCTGTTTCAGTTTATTAAAACGTAGTGATGTCCTTTAAGAATGTCATAGAGACACTTAACAGTTTCAGTAGGAATTTATCATGAACAGCTCAGCACTAAAGGTAGAAACGTTCAGAAGATGAGAGTGGATGGAGCCTGGCTTTGTTCAGTGTGTGCATTGAACCTTGAAGTTTTGGGGTCATTTCTGTTGGCCTGGATAAAAACAAATTTTTTGACGCTGCTCACTGGCTGGAGTTCAACCACTGGGAACGATCAGAAGTCAATAACTAAATGGGGGTCATAGAAGTTAGGTTTATTATAGGTTTTTTCCTGTGGGTGCATTCAATGAATGTTTATTTAAAATGATAAGATCGTGTTTACCTTTTAAAAGTGAGGCTAAACACTCTTGGAACCGGTCTGCTGGCTCTGGCTGTGAGATCAGAGGCACATGTTATCCTGGCCGACCTTAGGATAACATTTGATTGATGATAATGTGGCTTTTAGTAATGGACTTCCATTTATAATGGGGAGGGTTTTTTTTTTTAAAGCCTGTAAAGTACAAATAATTTTGAGACCTCAAGAAACAATATGTAAATAGAGAAAAATTCTGGCGTGCTATTTAGATACCTGAAGTACTCAGCCTTTCAAAATTTTCACTGTACCAATTTGCCATCTTCTCCAACCCTAAAAAAAAAAACCTTGGCAATAGTAGTACCAGTACTTCTAGGTTTGGTGATAGAATTCACAGGGATCTTAGTGACATTGTGGCATGAGATTCTCTCTGAAGCTTAGGAATGAGGTGTCTTGCATTTTAGCCCAGTTATGTGTCTTACTGTGATTGTATGTGTATCCCAAAGATGGGGGTGAGTGGGAGACATTTCCACCCTCACGCTTTAATGAACAGATTAGTCAGGCATAGTGAAGGAGAGTGTCCACTAATATTTGATACGATGGACCATTGCTGGGGATAGTTAGTGCCTTAGAGCTCTCAGAAGACGTGATCTTGCAAATCAGCCTCGCCTCAGAAAAGCCAGGGCCTAGATTCATAAAAAGAGCTTGAAAACTGAAGCTCTGCTTATTGAATTCCTGGTTTCTGATATAATTCAGGAATGCCTCACCTCCAGGAATGGGTTGTCATAATTAATTTCCACCTAGGATGCTTCTCTGTCTTCTTCCACCATCTACTCTGTTGCTGTATTTGTTTCCTGGCATATGCTATTGTATTTGTTTAGCAAACTTCCACAAAATTAGCAGCTTAAAAGTGCATAGGGTTTTTGTGTTGTGGTTCTGTGAACTAGAAGTTGGATGTGGGTCTCCCTGGACTAAAGCTTGAGATATGAATCATTGTTTTCAGTGAGCCCTGGAGGGGTTTCTGTGTTACCTTTTCTGGCTTCTGGAGAAGCCTGCACTTCTTGGCTCGTGGTTCTCTACCTCCTTCCTCAAAGCCAGCGATAATGTATCTCTGTGCATTTCTCTATCGTGACCTCTCCCTCTGACCACAATCAGGAAACCATCTGCATTTGGAAGACCCTTGGGTTTAGATTGGGTCCCTTTAGGTAATCCAGGATAGCCAAACCCTTGATCACAAGCACAGTCTCTTTTGCTGTATAATGTAGTCATAGGGATCAGGGATTAGTATGTGGGTAACATCAAGGTCTATTATTTTGCATATCATAAACTTCTTAAAAGCCTGTAAAGTACAAATAATTTTTGTACATAGTCTCCCCCTCCCACCCCCACTTCTGTGTGTGTGTGTGTGTGTGTGTGTGTGTGTGTGCGCGCGCGCACGCGTGCACAGTACTAAGTACTAAGCCTGGGGCCTTCATCTAAGCTATATCCTCAATCCTGTTTTTAAATTTTTTTTTGAATTTTGAGATAGCATTTTGCTAAGCTGCTAAGTTGCCCAGGCTTGAACTTATAATCTTCCTTCTTCAGTCTCCCAGAGTTCAGGGATTATAGGCTTGCACCATCATGCCAGGCTAAATATGTAACTATCTGACTCAAATGATTGTGCTGAGTTTTCCACTGCAGAGAAGATCTAGTGTCAGATTTCCAGCTTTAAATGAAGTGTCCTTGAGCCCAGCTGTTGTGAATCTCTCTGTATTTACGTCCAGCACTGACTTTGGTTAGAGCTGACTGCTTTATCCACCAGCGGTGAGCCTCTCCACTCCTGTTTCCCTTGTGTCCACATTCTGCTCATGGTTAGATTTCTCTTGTCTGCAAGTCCCTGCCTGGCTTTTCCTGCTTATTTCACAGTTCTCCAAGTGCCCATCCATTTATTTTTAGGACTCTTAATGTTCTATTTTGCATCATTGATGTGTATGTGTGTCTGTTTTCCTAAAATTTTCAGCTACTGAAGATAAAATACCTATTTGTATACTTATGATAATGCTGTGTTACTACTCAGAAGTTCTCCTTAGATGTTTACAGTTTAGAGCCTCTCAATTGATCTTGATTCAGCAGTGCACTAATTTCTTTTAAATTGACTTACATTAATCAGAGCCTTTTATTCTAAGACATAAGTATGTAAGTATCAGGTAGAGAAACTGTGTTTTCTAAACTGGTAGCCTGACTTTCTTCTCTACTTAAAATTGTTGATTCAAGGATATGATACACTTTTGAATTTCATGGATTATTAAAAAATAAATAGCTTTTAGCTTTTCTCCTGTTGATTTTGGTGGTTGTGCCTCAGTTATTCCCTACCCCTGGCCCTCCAATCTGATATATGACCTTCATTGATTTTAAGTGCTGTTTTATAGAATTCCACCAAAGCACCGCTCAAGAGATCAAATGTTGAGAAAGTGACCAATGTGCAGATCCTGGTGCTGTTCGGCATCCTCCTGGTCATGGCCCTGGTGAGCTCCGTGGGAGCCCTGTACTGGAATAGGTCTCACGGTGGGACTAACTGGTACATCAAGGAGATGGGTGAGTATGGGAGAGAGTGCGTGTTGAAGTAGGACAAAGCCACCCACAGGGAGCCCCTGCACGCACAGGGCCGTGCTATCCTTCCTTCCCTTTGGGTGCTGTGCATCATGCTTGCTTTTCACAGAGGAGTGAAAGACTAGAAGCACATGGTGCAGTGAAGATAAGCATGTTTGAGAATTGTTTTATGCACAGATTATTATTTTCAGCCATCTTAAGGGTATTTTTTGAGGCTACTCTAGGGGCTACACCATTAGAATCCACTTTGGATGAATACTTGTTGCAGTAAAATACAGAAACATCACTCCAGGGTCCCTCCACTTTCTCCTCCGCTCACGTTATCATCATCGTAGCATTAGATCTATGTCATCAACCCAGCAGTACTGTTACAAGTGTGTTGCTTTATATAATTGTCATCTGTTAAAGAAACTAAAAGAAAAAATATGCTTACGCGGAGTTGTTTTGTATTAAACTTTATTTACCACTTCTAGTACTCTTTGTGTTTTCTTGTGGGTGAGTTACTAGCTGGTATCATTTCTTTGCCTCATGAGTCTTTATTCTTCTCTCTATATAACTCCAACACTTTAAAATGAAATTTTGTAATTTCTTTTTAAATCTGTCTTCTTGAAGAACTTTTAAATATTTCTTGAAAGGCTGATAGACTAGCAACAAATTACCTCTGTTTTTACTTGTGTAAAAACTTGTGTTTTTGCGTGATAGTTTTCCTGGATACAGAATTCTTGTAGAATTGTGATTAGCCTTCATTTTTTCCGGTATTCTGAATCTGATGTCCCACTACCTTCTGGCTTTCATTGTATGGATGAGCAGTCTGCTGCGTATCTTACTGCATTCCTTTTTTGTACATGAGTCATTTTTGCACTGCTGCTTCTCAGTATTTTGTTTTTGACAATTTTGTGTTTATTTTGCTTGGACTTTTGTGGAACTTCTTATATATGTAAATTGAATTATTTTTTCATAAAATTCAGGACATTTTCAGATACTGTTGCAAATATTATTTCTGCTACATTCTTGATTTTTTTCCTAGCACTGCCATTGTTTGTGTAGTTAGTGTGTCCTACAAATCTCTGGGTTCTGTTTTTTTTCCTTCATTACTTTTTCTTTCTGTTCTTCAGGTTGGATAACTTCAGTGACCTCTCTTCCAGTTTACTTAGTATCTTTCTGCCAACCCAAGTGCACTAGTGAATTTTTTGTTTTATTTATTGTACTTTTCAATTCCAGAAGCTCCATTTGGTTGATTTTTAATTTAAAAAACTTTTATTTCCTTATTGATATTCTTGATTTGAACTGTATTTATCTTTATACTTTTAAACATTTTTCAGTTTCCTGGAGGAAAATTTAATATATCTTTGCTTGTCCCATTATCTGCATGCCCCTCAAAAACTGTTCCTATTAATTTTTTTTCAAGTCTCATCACTTTTTTTGGCTGAAAACTGGATATTTTAGATAATACAGTAACACAGGATTCTCATTTTCTTTTCATTGTTGGACTGCTGTTTGTTTGGTTATTTGTTTAGTGACGTGTCTGTACTACTTCTATAAAGAGTGTTTGCTTCTGTAGTATGTAGTTGGTGATATTACTGATTAGTTTTTTTTTCCTTGCTTTTACTTCTTAATTTTTCTTAACTGTATAGTTCAGTATGTAGAATGGCTTTTGGTACATTCATAGATTTGTGCAACTTTTATCTCTACTTAACTTTAGAACATTTTCATCACTTAGTGAAGGAACCTTTTCCCCATTAATAGAAATTCATTGTTTTGTTTTAAAATCTGGATTATTCCCAGTCAGTACATCTTGGAGGTCAGTGCATGCATGATTGGTTATTGTTTGGTCACTGGGTGGCTTGAGGATGCCTCTGATATATGGAGAGATTAGAGCGCCTCCTACATTCAGCAGGAACTTGTGGCTGAGAGTTTCCTACATGGTATTTCCTGACAAGCTGCAACCTTTACATCTGGATGGACCTTCTGCGCTGTCAGGAATGAATGTGCTCTCTTGGCTTTACTGATTGTATCTTTCTGTGGATATCCTGTTAAATTTCTAGCTGGTTTTTTTGTTTGTTTGTTTATTTGTTTGCCTCTCCTAGTATTATGGAGATATTTGCCTTTCTTGGTTATTACCACCGTGATTTGAGAATGAACTTACTTTCTGTTTTTTTCTTCTTCTTCTTTTTTTTTTTTTTTTTGCATTGGGGATCAAACTCAGACCCTTGTGCTTGCCAGGGAGGTCTCATGCCACTGAACTAAATCCCCAGCCGAACTTTCTTCTTATACTCCTGAAGATGTGCCTGTCCTTGTGCCTGTCCTTTTGGGTAGCAGCCTGCCTTACCCTGGAATTGAGTTTCTGTGCAGGAAGCTGGTGTGTGTGCAGGGCAGGGCTGAGTGCTCTTCACCCTCCCGTCTGCCCTTCTCACTGGAGCTGGAGCTTAAGCAATGTGGATCATTCAGCCTGACGGGGAAGGGGAGGGAGGAGCAGCCTCTGGCCTAAAGGCCTGGTTTCTACTAGTCCTAAAAGATTCAGTAGATTTTCTTGAATACATTTATTTGTATTTTTATATACTTTATGATACATTTCGAGAGACTTGAAAAGCTTTTTTAAAAAAATTGTCCAGTTTTATTGCTGCTGATTTTGGGGGGGAGTGGGATAAAAAAATCTGCCAGTCTCTTTACACAGCAAGTCTAGAAAATAAGTGGGATTTAACAACAAAAGATTAAAAATGATAAATTAAGATCTTAAAAATTTGGAGGGAATTTTCCTGGGGTTATTGTTATTTTCTTTGTTCACTATATTTTACTTAAACTGATAAAATACCATTTTTAGTGTTTCTGGTTATTTCAGAGAGGTATAATTAGTACTTTTTGATCTGCCACCTAGAGGAACTTACATTGTCACTTTATATGTGAGAAGCTAAGACTTCAGTCATGGTTGGATCAGAATCCCTGCTTTGGTTCTTAACATTTGAATGTGTACTGTGTTACCAAGCTTCAAATGTGAATGTGACGCTGGTGTGGCTATGTAGTTAGTTCCACAGCGTCCCAGTGTGGGGAATGTACAGTATTGACTTGACCTTGGTACACAAGCTTTGTGGAAACTGCATGACGTTTAAATTGCTAAGCTAGTGTTGAACTCCAGCACCAGCTGTGTGAGGTAGAGTGGAACAGTGGTCTTTCTATCCACCCCTCAGGCTTCCTGTCTGGTTCTTGTAGTGATCAAAGTCATTAGACTTTACATTTTCATTGTCACTGTTAGGATTTTGTGTTTTGTCTCTGTCTGTCAGTCTTTGCTCATCTCCTCTTGATTATTATTATTTGACCAAACATTTTAATGTAAGAATGTGAGACTTTCTGTTTTATTATTGACTTCTTTTGTGTCCCGGTTTTGGACCAGAATGTCTACATGGGCTGGGGTTTCTTTGAATGTGCTCTGCTTTTTGATACTATGGTATGAAGCATTTTTAGGTAGTGTTAAAAATCAGAAAATTTTAATTTTTTAATATATACTCTTATTTTAGTTGGCAGATGGATATTTGCTTCCAAACAAACACTAGATCTTACCAGCATCTGCACCTGTTGAGATTTGGAGATGCTGTTTAGTGACTCATTCATTCTGTAGGAGAACAAGATTATCAAAGTAATGTGTCAGGAAGGGAAAGCCATCAGCTGAAAAGCAGAAGGCTTGGTAGTGAGCAGAGAATGAAAGGACAGTAGAGAGGTGAGTCTGCTGGCTGGCTTGTGCAACTCACTGTGTTCTTCCGCAGCACCTTTTTTTCCTATCACATTACTGTCCACAACTCCTGTCTGAATCCAACTACCATGATCTGACTTACTCTCTTTATGAAAAGCTCCATAACTGGGGTTGGGAGCTGCTACTGATTCCAAGTCTCCAGCCCCAGCCTTCTGCCTTCTCATTAACCAGCCTCTGTCTTGCTTCCTGCGGTGGCCCTCTAATACCTGTCCTTTTGCATGGTCACATTCAGAGACATTCTGTCTCTGCTTGCTGCACCCCTGCAATCTCTTCCCAGAGTCCAGCTCTTTGCTGGCACAGACTGTCTGAATAGTATTTGTAGTCACAACTCCTGACACATAGTACGTGTTCAAAAACTTTTAAAACTTGAATTGATAAATTACCCAATAGACTTTTGTTGTGAACATCTTTTAGAAATCCCAAAATGAAAGAAGGCATAACTAATGCCGTGTGGATGTCCTGGTTTTTTCCCCCAGACACAAGCTCGGATAATTTTGGGTACAACCTGTTGACATTCATCATCTTGTACAACAATCTGATTCCCATCAGCCTTCTGGTGACTCTAGAGGTTGTGAAATACACACAGGCCCTCTTCATAAACTGGGTAAGTGCTGGAGCTGAGAAATGCCATCCCTGCTTTCCGATATTTCCAGAGCCTTTGCCATTGACTTGAACTTTCATGGAAAGAAGAAGGGAGGACATTTATGCTTCAGTCTGGGGGTGGACGACCACACAGGAGAACTGGCATGAGATGCTGGTGAAGGTGTGTCTGAGGAGCAGAGGGGACAGTGGTGTGCCTGCCTATTCCAGGGGTGGTGTGGAGGCAGCATGGGACGGTGGAAATAAGGTACCCTGTGAGTGCTTAGCTGTGGATGCTTCTGAAGTATCAACAGTACCAAGGAGAAAGCCTCTTTGGGATGTTTGCTAATGTGCTCATTGTGCATCAGAAAGTGTTGAGTGAGTTTGGATTTGGCTGTAAGAACAGAATTGGGATACTTCCATGCTGTGAATTGAACCCAGGGCCTCATGCATGCTAGGCACGTACTCTGCTATTGCAGTCAGTGATTGCAAATGGCATAGGGGGTGACAAAGATTATTTGGAGATGAGCCTTAGTTCAGTCACTAAGAGGGGCTCTTCTGACCTGAGATTACCCGGCCATTAAGGAGACTCTCTGGAGAAGGAAAACCCACCAAGCTGAGAATTCTCTGGCGTTTATTTAGAGTATCAGTGAGCTACTGCAGGCAGCGTAGAAAATGAAAAGAATACCCATCAACAAGACTGAGTTTAGTCACTGAGAGGCCCCAAGGGGCCTTGTCCTTCTCCCAGAGTCTCCCAGATGGCTGGGTGCATTTGGATGAGAAGCCCCTCTGTGCCTCCCAGTGACTAAACTCAGTCTTGTCTCTGGATAAGCTAGTTGCTCCATCCTCTGTGCTGCCCGACGTTGCTCACTGTGACACACTGCAAACTGAGCTGCAGCACCACCATCCCTACACCTGGATTTTTAAAGGACCTTCATGACCCAGAAGCACTAGACACCAGCGGTTAGAGCGTACACACCAGCCACATGTGCATTCATCTTTATCTTAACTTTATAGTGCTTCTGCAAATGATATATTAAGCACAAAATCAGGAGTCTAGGTCATGATGATGGGAATGATGCTCTTGAACCAGGTCTTCTGTGTATAAAATACTATTTCTCCCCATATGTAATAAGATTTTTGTATCCTAACAGCTACTGTGCTTTCATGCCCCCTCGACAGAGAACTAGCATATCTATTAAAATGGAAGGGTTTAAGTTACCTGTTCTTTGCTTCTGTGTTAATCTGAGTGAAGCGTCAGTGATACATATTTTCTAAGGTTTCCTTCTCTCTCTCTCTCTCTCTCTCTCTCTCTCTCTCTCTCTCTCTCTCTCTCTCTCAGGACACAGATATGTATTATATAGAAAACGACACTCCTGCAATGGCCAGAACATCAAATCTTAATGAAGAACTCGGGCAGGTGAGAAGTTGTTTGGGAACATTGGCAACAGTAGCATCAGCGGGAGGGTTAGCAGAAGAGCAGTGGAGAGATTTTGCAAGAATATTGATCCATTTAGTTATAATATCTGAACAGCTACATGGTATTTGAAAGTACTAAGTGACATAGATGCCCCTTGCTTTTGGCTTGCTTTTTAGACATGACTGTATCTTATCACCTAGAAGTTACCTGCAAAAAGTAAAGTACAAAACATAGCAGAATATAATTTTGGACCCTTTAAAAAAGTGCTTATCAGAGGCATATGGCAGGGGAAACAATGCATAAGGTAATTAGACATTGGGTAACTACATAAAATGTGTGGGAGCTATTGGAAGGACATGTAGCCTTAAGATTTTGTCTGTGTTTCGCGGTAGAAGTGATTTTAGCACCGTCACCCCAAACTCTTCCTGATTCTCCTGAATTGAACTTTACATTGTCTATCTCTTCCACTGAAATTGCTGCAGGGAATAACTTTTTAAATGAATTTCAGTGAAGATTAGGATTTTATTTTATACATCTTAAACCTCCCAACTGCCTGATGAGGGGGGTGCTGTATCTTCAATGTGCAGATGAGGAATGCGTAACTCACCCCAGCATACCTGGATAAGGAATGATAGGCTTGGGGCTACAGATTGTCCAAATCTGGCTTATTCTTCATTTCCTGTTGTGGAAATGTCTCTCCTATCCTGTAACCATCTGTGAAGATCAGGTGAAATGTCTTATTTACCTGAGCTTAGAACAATGTTAACAGAAGTACTTTATTTCTTTAACTCCCCCTCAAAGATAATGATTTATGTAGCATTGATGAATTTATTGCTAGAATATTCAAGCTCAAGTTTGTGTAGCAAACTGTGTAATAAAATATGGGCAACAATGCTTGTGAGTCTGTTTCTTTGATATTATTTTCCAAACATTTTTAGAGTTAACAATGAATTTTTCTGTCTTCTCTTGAACTGTGTACATTTGCAGAAATGCCCTTAAGTTTGTGTAGTAACAAGTGGATTGTGACTAAAGAGATCATCCCTGGCACATAGCACAAATCCTCAGCCAGGCCGATACCTCCAGCCTCCTTACCCAGTTGTGCTCTAGGTACATAGGGCACAGAACAGTACGCAGAGCAGGCCCTGGACTTCCACTCTTCATGTTTGTTGGTGTTGCTATGTTTGCTTACATTTTTTTTATATAAAGTCTTCATCACTGGTAAAATCCTACTGTTAGAAGATTTTGTATATTCTTGTTACATATCAATGTCTTACTTTTCTTATTGCTGAAACAAAATATCTTATATTCAAAATCAAAGGAAGGAAGATTTATTTAGCTCACCGTTTGTAGAGGTTTTGGTCCATAGTCTGTTGGCACCAAGGCAGAGGAGCATGGCAGAGGAGAAACAGTTCATGGTAGGCATAATGTAGCAAAGCAACAAGGAGAGGCCACAGCTCTTTCTATCCTTCATATTTTACCCAGGCAATTTAGGGCACGTAGCACTCACACCCTTAATCCCAGTGCCCTTGATCCTAGCATTGCACCATGAATCAATTCTAGCATCACACATTCTAGATTCAGCCACCTCTGCAAAAGCCCCATCTGTGACCACATGAGGCTTTGGGGGTGCTTCTAGATACAAGCCCTAACAATCAGACTATATTTGCCTTCTTCAGTTTTCCAGGAAAAATTGTCTGTCTTCTACATTTCCATAACAATCTTCCCAAACATACACAGTGAAATAAGAGATGGAACTAGTTATCACATATCTGTTTTCTACTGGGGACTTTTGAGCCCATTGGAGAGCAAGGATGACCTGCGTGGTTGACCCTCTGTGTCCATGGGTTTTCATCCAAAGATTCAACCAATGCCACACTGAAACTGTAGCTGGGCCTATGATGATTATATCAGTAACAAATATGGGCAGACTTCTCTTGTTCTTATACCCTAAACAAACCAGTATAACAACAGTTTGCATAGTATTTATATGACAGTAGGTATTATAAGTCATCTGAAGATGAGTAAAGGCATACAGAAGAATGCATGTGGGTTTTATGGAAATACTACACCATTTTATAGATGGGACTTGAGCATCCACAGGCTTTGGTGCCCAAGGATGTGTCCTAGGATCAGTCCCCTGAGGGTACTGAGGGATGCCTGTAAAGGATGTGTGTGGCTTTTGTCAGTTCAGAGCAGTGCTCAAAACGTAGTCATTCTCAGGTGCCTCGGAACCGGGCCTGGATAATTGAAAGACTGAAAGCACCCACGAAGTTCCCAAATGAAATCACTCCCCAGTGGGATGTAGAGAGGTGTATTAGTCAGTTCTCCTCTTGCTGGGACAGAATATCTGAAATCTCCAACTTCAAGGAGCAGAGGTTTATTCTGGGTCACAGTTTGTGGGGGCCAGTCCGTGGCTGGCTGGCTTTACGGCATCATGATGGAAGGGCATGGCGGTGCAAAGCTGTCACTCATAGCAGCTGGGAAGTGGCGGGCAGGGAAAGATATGGAGAAGAAGCAGCCAGCAACCAGATACAGTCCCCAAGGTCATGGTCCCATGATCCACCGAACACCCCCAGAAGTGTGTTTTAGTAATCGCTGAACAGCTCCCAAACCACTTAGGTTGATGTTTGGATGGAGTTGAAATTCAACAGGGAATTTGATAGTAAATCTTGATAATTTCTTTTTATCAAATTCTAATTTTTAATATTTTGATACAAACTCTTAATTTTTTAAAAAGCCAGAAGGAACCACTGTTTATCTGAAGGCAGATTTTGCTGTATATTTATCCCCCTAGATTTACTCTATAAGAACTTATATAAAATTTATTGTTGAAACATTAATTACCCTGGATTTGATTAATGTGTATGTATACATGTATTTGATTAATGTATATCTATACATGTATTGAAATATTACATTATACTTTGTAAATATAAATATTATTAATCAAAAATTACAAAAATATTTAAGGAAATAACATATGCAAACAACCCTGTATTTGTGAGTTGAATTATTATACTATTCTCCCTACACATGTATGACTAAGATAGAATAAAATTTAAAGAGATTGGTAGTAAAGCATAAATTACCCCTGCATGTAATAATTTTGTATTTGTATGTCATATTTAATTTCTTTAGCAGCTTTAGTAACTTTTCTTTACTTGGAAGTCCCTTGATAGCTTTAAAAATGATTCTCAATGTATTTATTTTTTAAGAAAAAGTATACAATAAGAAATTCATATTATTAATCCCTCTTCTGTGGAACTACAAAATACTGTTTCCTAGGCCAATTCTCTAGGATCCCTGGATGTTTTCTAGGATCCATCTTGATTTTTCAAGAAAACCACTAACAAACGGAAGTTTTACTGGACAATCCTGTTAATCACCCTCCCTTCCTAATCCGTGACATAACATCCATATATGGAGTGATGCTTATCTTCTAACCAGATCCTTTAGCTCAGCAAGGTGGAAGCTGGGGCCAGGACAGATAAGGTGAATTTGTGAGCATTTGCAGGACCAACAGTTAGTGCTCATAGTCCTTGCTGGACTCACTCTCCTTGTAGTTCAGAGTTCTTTCTGTCTTCTGCACTGTTTTGTTGATCTGAGATAGCATAATTTTTCCACATGTGGAGCGTGGCTCTTTTTCACGTTTACATGTGGAGCATGGCTCTTTTGCATTCGGCTTAGTGTCGAGATGATTAGCTTGTAGGTCTAACTCAGTGTCATCCTGTTTCACCTTTGTGTGTTGAGAATGTCGTGTTTAATCTGTATCTTTGCATCTTGAAAAGTAGTACAGCAAGATCTGTTCCCTCTTCACATGCTTCTTATCTGTGCATTCACGCTCCGCCTTTCTTGCAGTGCTGGGGATCAAACCCAGACCTCGCATATGCCAGGCAAGTGAGCTACACCTCGAGTCCCCAAGCAGTGTCTTGAAGAATGAGCTGTGGCATTGAGATACTGCTGGAAAGGACTTGATGCTCACACTTACAGATAGTGCAGGGCTCCTACCGAAGCTTCCTCCGCACTTTCTTTCACAATTTGACAGCAGAATTAGTTACAGAAACAGCTTTGTAGCTGATCTCAGAATTGAAATACATTTTCTATTACTAACTTTACTTTCAGGAAGTCTGTTCATCTAAATTTAATACAGATTTTGAAAAGTATAGAAGGAAGGACTTCATGTATTGAACTTTGCATCTTATTACACTCTTGGTTGCATCTCTTTTATCCTTTGATTTAGGTAAAATATCTATTTTCTGACAAGACTGGGACTTTGACATGCAATATCATGAACTTCAAAAAGTGTAGCATTGCAGGCGTAACCTATGGGTAAGTGTGTTTTTTTCATTACTTACTGGAAATTTCACATGTATTCTTCCAACAAAATAAATTTATTCTTAGGTACTTCATCAAATACCTTGACTTTTTGATGTTTATGAGGCGATAGATATGTAGTTCCTATGGGATGTATGTAACACTTAAATGAGTCTCCAAGGTAGCTTTAAGCAGTTACAGTATGATTTATTTCTACAAATACTAACATAATAAGAACTCCAGTGAATCCTGTGTTTCTTCCCTGTGTCTGCACCGAAGTGCCCGTCTATTGACCGGCTTTGTGACAAGCATGTTTTCCTCTCTGCCAGGCATTTCCCGGAGCTGACAAGGGAGCTGTCCTCAGATGATTTCTGGTAAGTGCATCCTCACACTCCCTCCCCGCCGTGCAGGGGCTGCAGAGTAGCTGTCTGGTAGCACTCCTTATCTCAGTGTTCTTGTAGGTACATAAAAGTTGTATATATGTTATTCTGAAAGAAAATCAGAATAATATTTAAACATGAACCTAGTTTTAAACGTCCATACTACACAACTTTTAACAAAAGTAATCTACCCTTGATCCTAAATATGCCATTTCCTAGAAGCAGCCAACCCTAACTTTTTGATGCCGGAAAAAACCCATATATATATATATATGATGCTGGGAAAAAACCATATATATATATGTATATATATATTCCTGTATTTTGTAATAATACGTTGTTAATTTGAACATGTTTTATAGTTGTAGCATTGGTAGATTTTTCTATCACGGAAGATGTTTTAGCATGTGCTCCTGCATGTGGGACCTGTCCCCTGGCCCACGGTCCCCCATGCCAGGTCTTTGGAAGCATTTAGCATTATCTCCGTGTTCTTAGCATACTAACTTGCAACCATGACCCTTGGTGTAGGTTTTTTCCCTTCACTATGTCAAGCATTTAGTGGACTACTGCTGAGGGGTTTCTGTCTATAAATTTCTCGTACTCATTTTAGGGAGACGTCTTTACGGTAATTTTCCTCTTTCCTCAACCTCTCTTGTTTTGTCTAAGTTTCCTGTTAGGCAAATATTCGGCCTTTGGAGATGATCTTCCAATTTTATTATCTTTTTGCTCACTTTCTATTTTCTGGTTTTGCTCACTTTCTATCTTTTGCTCACTTTCTATTTTCTGTTTTTGTTTTCTTTCTGGTATTTTTTCCATCTTGTGTGCTTCGTGAGAATTTTCATGAGCTCCCATTTTCAGCTTTCAAAAGCACTTTCCTAACCTTGCTCTTACATTTTCCACTTCTTTAACTCAACTTGCCTGCCCTCAGCCTCCACCCTGGCCTTACTCTCTTGATTGATTAATTTTGTAGGCTTCTTCAAAAGTCTGGTGATCACTGGCTGTGTGTGCATCGATTTTTAAATTAACTTTCTTTGTGGTAAATACACAAAACATAAAATTGAGCATTTTAATCATCTTTAAGTTATTCCTAGAGAGGAACTTTAGTTCCATAATGAATTCAGAAGGAGACCGGATTGTTTTCATATGATCTGTGCCAGCCTCCACAGCCTGCCCCACCGTCAAAACTCTGTACCAGACTGGTGGGCGTGTTACAGTCAGTGACCCTGCCCTGGCACACCACTGCCACCTGGAGTGCATGCTTATTAGGAGGGCTCCCTCTTGGCGCTGTGTATTCTGTGGGTCATTGCCATTATCACATCATGGCAATTTCCATGGTATTTCCACTGCCCTAAAAATCCTCTGTGCTTGGCTACTCAAGGTCTCAAGCTCTGATCCCTGAAAACCATGATATTTTTTTCACTACTGGTGTTTGAACCCCGGGCCTTTGCACTGAGCTATATCCCCAGTCCTTTATAGAATTTTAAATTTTGAAACACCGTCTCAGTAAGTTCCCCGGTGATCCTCTTGCCTCAGCCTCCCCATCTGGGATTTCAGGGGTGCACCTCTGCACTCACTTTGTCACCTGGTTTTCTTACTGTTGCTACAGCTTTGTCTTTTCAAGAACATCCTTGTCCTTTCTGGTTGGGATTATACAATAGATAACCTGTTTTGATGGCTTCTTTCACTTAGTAATATGCATTTAAAGTTCCTTTATTTTTTTTCATTGCTTGTTAGCTTAATTCTTTTTAGTGCTGGATAATAGGCCAGGCTGAGGCTACCCTGGGTTACCCTCTCTAAAAGATAGGCCTTCCACCCATCCTGGGTGTAGAGGGCCTACTGTCTGGCTGTGTGGGCCGAGGGAGGGTTCTGGTTCTTGCAAGCTCAGGATTCTTCACGTGCACCTGAAAAGGATGCTGTCACCTGCTTGCCTTGTAAATGTGAGTCCTGCTGCTGTGACAGAGTAGTGGGGTACGTCAGCTGTAAGGGTTTACTTTGGAAAATGGCTCCAGAGGATTCAGTCTGTAGTCTCTGGGCTTCATCACTCCAGGGTCTCCAGGGCAAAACACCTCATGGTTGGTTTTCGTTTTCTCCTGTATTACTTGCTAATACTGTACAGTATTTCCTCAGTTAAAATTGACATCTGCTATGTTGTTGTTTCATTGTCTTTGTCTTGAGAAAGAGTTTAAGGAGAGAGCAGAGAGCAGGGAATATACTTACCCTTTGCATGTCTTCAGGACGGTAGCACACAGCCCTTAGAGCAGGTTTCCTTTCTGGTCTTAAATGATTGCCTCTACGTAATTCAGTGATTCCTGTTGTCTGCTTTGAGAAGCCCTTCTTGGATTTTTTCTGGTAGAAGTTATGAAGGACCCAACTGAACTAATAGAATCATAATATCAATCCTTGGTTTCTTTTTCTTTCTCTTGTATCTATGCTGTTGTTTATAAGAACTTATAAAATATTTTATTTATAATAATAAGAATTTACTACCTTAAGGTTTGAAGTACCAAACAGTACTGCAAATCTTTAAAGGTTGGCTATGAGTCTATGGAGTTGTTATGTGTAGTTCTTTTTGAAGTCAGATTCTTACTAGGTTTGAGTTACCATAGCAGGAACTTTTAATCAAATAAATTTTTTTGTTTTCTTTTGTAGCCGGATACCTCCTCCTCCTAGTGATTCTTGTGACTTTGATGATCCTCGGCTGCTAAAAAACATTGAAGATCAGCATGTGAGTGTGCTGCTTTACTTCTTTTTCTTCTTTTTTTTTTTTTGTCTTTTTCCTTTTTATCGGTACCGGGGATCAAACTCATGACTGCCTGCTTGCAAAGCAGGTGCTTATGCCGCTGAGCTAAATCCCCAGCCCCATATTGCTTTACTTCTAAGACACCCAATAGCTTACGGTTCATATTAGTATTTATAACATATGCACATTTTCCTAAAAGTGAAAAGTGAGGAGATTGGGAATAGAGACCCTTTCAATTTTTATTGTGTTAGTACTTCAGGAAGGCAATTTTCTTTTTTTTTTTTTTTTATTTAAGAGGAAAAAGAGAAAAACACAAAACAAAACAAAGCAGTGTAAGATTACATATAATACAGAACTACAAAAAAAAACATAACAGTAAGAAATCACCTGTTAATAGATTACATATTATCATCTTGGAAATAGTTGCTCAAATCACAGTATCAAAGAATACAAAGGAGACATTCAAACAGAGAGACTGCAAACAGCTGTGTTCAATGATCCAAAAACATTAATATAGTCAGCTATTTAACACCCCTATACACACTTGCTGTTATATCCGTTAGAGCTCTTTTTTTTCCCTTCCTCTCTTTTTTACAACAAAATATACACATTTTGGATTTTATTACTCCTTAGTTCTTATTACTTTTTTTGGGGGGGGAGAGAATAAAGTCAAATATGGCAGAACAAAGCTGTCAGTCAAAACCAAGGATAGACATAGCACATGATGTAGAACAGAGTACAAGGTTATTAACAATGGTTATCAACGTTGTCTCTTGTTTCCTTAAAAAGATTTGTCTATCTCATTAGATATTATAAAGTTGGACAAAACAGTATAGAACAAGACCAATAAAACTTAGGCATTGTAAACATTACAGGACCTCCAAAGGAGACAATAGTCAAACCAGAATGGGCATCTTAGTGAGTCTTATTGCCTTCAAAGTAGTTGCCTATACCCTCAGACTTGATACTATCACACAGAATGGTACAGAGTCTAATCAGTCAAAACAAGATCGTGGGAGTATTACAGGACTTCAAAACAAGTTAATAGGAAATCAAAAAGAGTTACTATTATATATCCTAATTTTTTAAATTTTTCCCTTAATTAAAATAAACATAAGAAATAACTAAATAATTTTTTTAAAGAATAGTAGTTACCATAGTGTCTGTCTTTTTCCTTGAAATATTTGGATAAAACTTCATATACTATAGCTTCAAATATTTCCATATCAAGAAGCCCAGAATAAAGCCTTTCTAATTAATAAGTGAAAATTTTATAAGGCTTCAAGGCCACATAATGGGGAATCATGATTGCCACATATTTTTATATATTTGAATCACTACTTACATTAGGGAAACTATTCAGTATTCACACATGCGAGATTGATTTATTTCACTTATGAGTATGGTCTCAAGCTGCGCCCATTTATTGATAAATATCTCAATGTGATCCTTCTTTATAGCTGAATAATACTCCATTGTATAGAAATACCACAACTTTTTTATCCACTCCTCAGTTGATGGACACTTGGGTTGTTTCCAAGATCTGGCGATTACAAATTGTGCTGCTGTAAACATAGGTGCACATAAATCACTGTGGTATGATGCTTTCAGTTCTTCTGGGAATATGCCTAGAAGTGGAATAGCTGGAATAAATGGGATTTCCAATCCCAACTTTTTGAGAAACCTCTAGACAGACAGGAAGGCAATTTTCAAAAAAGCTTTGTGGTGATCACTACATAAAATTAGTGTAAAACTGAATTTAAGTAGTAGTGAAGTTATAAAGTGACACATCAGGTCACGTCTCCCCACCGAATTCTGTAATAGTTCAGATTTCTGTTGTTTTGTAAAATCAATCCTGACCTTTTCTTTGTAGCTGGGAATATAAGGGGTAGTAGATCTTGAAAAGCCATTGGATACGTTTTGAGGAGGATACTTTAGAAAACAAAAGCAAGATAAAAAACAGGTAGCATTTACTGCGTTCTCCTGGGTGCTGGACATTGAACCTGTGTTGCCCTTAGTATTTGAGTCACCCCGAGAGGTAACAAGGAAGTTGCCTAAAATGAAAGAATTTGTAAGTGTAGTGATGAAACTTACAGCCTAAGTCTGCCCAGTTCCCACTTATTAATTTACCTAGTTTCTCACAGAAGTGGGGGACACTCTGTTGCCCAGGCTCTGCCCCGAACTCTGGGCTCAGGCCACCCTCTTACCTCAGCCTTCCAAATAACTAGAACTGTAGTCACATGCCACCATGCCCAGCTCTTAACGTGACATCGCGTTACCTCAGCTGTCCTGGTAAACCAGGATTAACTATGCTGTTGTATCAACTCATTTTTTTATTTAAAGATTCTGCTAAAAAAACCAACTTATAATAAAGTATTATATGATCAAAGTGTATCATGGCTAATTAGTATAAACTAGACTGGATATGATTCATGTTTTCCTGAAAAGCATTTCTGAATTTAAAGTCAGGCAAACATGAGCAAAACTTAAACTTTTGTCTTTCCAAAATTTTGTTGAGACATAGATACATTTAAAACTTGGGACTGCAGCTGCAGTGCATGGTGGGGTGCTTGCCTAGCATGCATGGCAGCCTGCTTACCACCCCCGAAGCTATTTCTAAATTGTCAGGAAATTCTTTGTTGCGGTCAGTGTCTATTTTTTAAAAGTGCTAACCCTCCCCATGGCAGCTGTCCCATGTGAGTGTGTGGGGCTCCATGTCCCGGCTGAGCTGGCCAGCAGTGCTGACCAGCACTGGGCTGAGCCTGGTCCCATGACCCAAGGAGGACATTGCAAAGGCCCCTGTGTGAATTTAGATCTTAGGGGTAGAAACAGCCACCAGAGCTTCTCCAAGTAGAAGGGTAGTGATGCCACAGCCTCTTTGGAGGAGAGGGCTTTTAATCCAAGATGTCAGAGAAGCAAGTGTGCTACTCGATAAGAGGAAGCGGGCATATTCACATATACTCACCCAGGTGGTGGCCTGGTGAGTGGGAGAGGAGATGGCAGAGGGTGACGTGGAAGAGATTAGGAGACTGCTCGTGGTCTGGTTTCACAAGGTTTGTTCCCCAGCGTCAATTTGTGGGTGAGGAAGTAATGGAGGTTGCCAGGAGGACAGAAAGCCCAGGGCACTGCCAAGACCCGCAGTGGGTTAGGGAGAAAGCACCGTGCTGGACCCCTGTTCTTGAGAGGCTCACTTGCTTATGCGCTCATTCAGCTGACGCTGGGAAGCCTCATTTGTACTCAGTCCTTTGCTCTGGATCTGAGAAGCAGAGGAATAAAAAACCCACAAAGGACTACTGTAAAGTAGGGAAGGAGACGCAGGACATTGTCAAGAGCCATTGTCCTGTTCTGCGAGACAGGGGTGATGTGACACTGGGATGTGATTTTGTCGTGTGTAAGGGTAGGGGTCCCCCCTCAGTGGGTGCTGCAGGGGCTGTGATTGTTGAGATGTGGGTAGTGTGGCCATCTGACTCCACCAAACGGTATCCGCACTCACAAGGTGTGGGGAGCCTGGATGCCGGGGGCCTGGACAGAGCTGCCTCTGGAGAAGAGACCTCCTCATGCTGCTGGGATCTCAGCAGTGACTGTGACTCACACAGGTGCTCTCTGACCCTGTGTGGCCGAGGTGAGGAGGATCTGAAGAGCCTGTCCTCCATGGAGGTTTCCGGGGAGCCCTGAGCACAGACGGGGTCCCTCCTATGTGTTCCCTTTAACCACCTCTTTTTTCAGACTCCTCCTCCATAGCCGCAGCCCCTTGCTTTCCTTCCCCTAAGGCTTCTGTGCTAGCTAGTGTTTCATTACTATACAAATACCCGAACCATTCCAGGTAACAAGAGGGAGGCCTAAGCCACACATGGTAGTGCGTGTCTATAACCTCAGCATTCCGGGAGGCTGAGAGAGGAGGACTGCAGAGGGGACCCCAGCCTGGCAACTTAGTGGCTTCCCAAGACTGTCTCAAAATAAAAAATCACCAAAGGGCTGGGGATGTAGCTTTGTGTGAAGGCCTGGGGTTCAGTCCCTGGTACGACAATAGAGAAAGGAGTGAATGAATGAATGAATGAATGAATGGTTTTGTTTTGGCTCACTCTTCTGGAGGTTTCAGTGTGTGGCTGATTGGTAACAAGTCATGCAGGGGCTCATGCAAAGGAGGCCTGGCTACCTCAGATCCAGGAACAAAAGAGAGGAAGAGGCAGTGTCTAGGGTCCCTATATTCCTCTCAGGGGTGCATCTCCAGTCCCCTACATCCCTCCCATGAGGCTCCCCATCTAGCTTTTCTGCCGCTTCCCCAGTGCTACACTGAAGAGCAAGCCTGTCACACATAGGCCTTTCAGGGACATTCGGAAGCTCACGTAATGTTCCTTTTGAGTAGCAAAGCTAGAGAACAGGAGTAGGGGTAAGCCTTGCATCTTTGACATGAAGATATTGTTATATGCATTAAAACATGGGCTTTGGGGTTAGTTTTTAAACCTGTATTTCATAGTCGGTAAAAGCACAATGAGATGACCGATTTTCCGTTTTGAGTCAGAGCATGTCCACTTGTGTCTCGCATTTCTGGACTTTTTTGCATCCTTGAAGAATTCTGGGGTCTTCTGTCCTGTTGTGTTAATGAAGCCATTGACGGTTCACATCTCCCTGTGCCCATCACTGTCAAGAGTGGAGACCACACCAGTATTTTCCTTTGGGAAGATGTTTGTTGGAGTTTTTAATGGGTGTCTTAAAATTTTTTCTTACTGATTTAAATTCAGAGACTCCTGATCACTTGTGCATTTGCCAGATTGTGGTTGGGAGCAGGAAGGAGCATTTGTGGAATTTTGGCTCTGGATACCCAGTTCCATCTTAATTGTCCTGGGATCATGGAGTAAAACGACAACATTTAACCCAAGGAAACCCTTCATGTTCTCCCCAGGAAAGAATTCTGTCTACTGCAGAATTTCCATTTTCCTGGGTCATCATTGCTGACTTTCTGGGCCCCTCGGGACTCTTCTAAG